ACTTAATTATCAATATAATTTGGTTTAGGCCATATTGAACTTTTTCCCATAGAAGGATGCCCACTTAGAAGAAAATAAGCTACATTCTGGTGAACCAAGATCTTTTTTTTTTTTATAAGAAAAGGCTTGAATATTTATTTAGGATATCCCATTAAAGTGCATGTTTGATAATACAGTTGTTTGATGCAAAGTTTGTTGCTATATTTTGCAATCAATATCATTTGCCATAGGCCACAACTTTTTCATATAGAGGGATTCCCAATTAGTGGAATACAAATTAAATATGGATGAACCAAGATAGGGGAAATGTATCATTTGACTCAGGCCAGAATGAACTTTTTATTATATAGAGGGTTGTCAGATTAGTAGAAAATAAGCCAGATTTAGGTGAGCCAAGATAAGAAACAACCTATTCATCTATACAGAATTTCCTAATGTTTGATGTTAGGGTGCCAGGTTTTGAGTCATATTTTAATGTTTCCAATAGAGTGATGTCCTATTATAAAACAAACCATATATATATATTTGGTTTGTTTTATAATTGGACATAGCTGCTGGGGCCAATTCATATAACATACAATATCCAGTGCACTCATTCATTTTCTTTCTTTCTTTTTTTAAAAACACCTAACTTAGGCAAAAATAATTCACAGTATATGATCATTCATTGCATAATGCCGATGTACCCAATTTTTAGCAGGTCCTATCCTAGCAACCTAATGTCTGCTTGCTCTTGTAAAATTAACCAATTTAGTTAGGAAATCCTTCTATTCTATGAGCTTTGAAATTGCTGCTTAGTGAATGAGTGAGTTCACTGGATCTTTTATGTCATGTGAATTGGCCCCAGCAGCAGCGCGCGCGCGCGCACACACACACACACACACACACACACACATATGTGTCAAATTTAATGTTTTAATGTTTCTATTATAAAACAAACCATATATATGAATTGGCCCCAGCAGCAAATATAATAATTCTAATGTTTTACTAAAGAAATACACCCCACCTTAACTGAAACAGACACAACAGAGTATAGAGGTGATATAAATATGTTATTCGCACCTCTTATTGTACCTTGTCTTGTAGCAACAAAAATAAATTAATCACAAATTCTACAAGCCAGGTAATAAAAAAAATAAGCACATAGAGTGATACCATAATACAATATGTGAAAATATATAATAATCGATACACTTACAAGAAAGAAATGAAACATTGGCTTATCAACCACTCCAGTGTTGCATCTACAGATAACTTTAAAGCTCTTTCAAATGTTGGTGCACACTGTAACATTTAAACACATCTTTAATAGGTATTACACATAGAGAGTAAAAGTGGTATTCAGGCCTATCCCCACTTTAAAAGCGATACATTTCTGGGACCTGTTTGGTTAGTTCCAGAATCAATGATCCACCAGATAATGGTGAATGAGGGTAGGTAAACCAGTATACCTGCCAATGACACAAAATTAACATATAAAAGACATTTAAAACCAAATATGGAAATAAAATGAAAATAGTGGTCCCTACGCATTTCATCCGACTAGCACGGGCTGCTGCAGGAAAAAACACCAGCATCGTCCTTGTTCCATCTCCCTGGGCATTTAAATCCCCTTATGGCACAAAACCAAAATGTTTGGAATCCATGTTTTTATATGTTTATTAATATGTTTGAAATTGCTGTTTAGTGAATGAGTGGGGTCATCTAGAGTAGGACCTGCCAAGAATGGGGTACATTGATGTTGTGGCAGGCTTATGTAATATAAGATCATATAATGTAACTAAACTCCCATTATTTTTGCCTAGGTGAGGTGTTTTTAAATAAAACCATTACAATCTGTAAGATTTAAAATCATTGTTTAGTGAATAAGCGAGTGCGATGGATTGTGTATTTTGTATGTTGTGTGTATATATATATATATATATATATATATATATATATAATACAAGATCCAATGCACCCACTCATTCACTAAACAGCAATTTCAAACATATTAATAAACATATAGAAAAAAGGACTTGAAACATTTTGGTTTTGCGCCAAAAGGGGATTTAAAAGCCCAGGGAGATGGAACTTGGACAATGCTGGTGTTTTTCCCTGCAGCAGCCCGTGCTAGACAGATGAAATGCGCAGGAACCACTATTTTCATTTTATTTCCATATTTGGTTTTAAATGTCTTTTATATGGTTTTAAATAAAACTATTACAATCTCTAAGATTTTAAATCATTGTTTAGTTAATAAGCGAGTGCACTGGATTGTGTATTTTGTATGTTGTATTTATTGGCTCCAGCAGCACCCTATAATGTATGCATGTTCAAGTGAGTGCAGACCTCTTGGTTTCATTTATATATGTCTATATCTATAAAACAATTTGGGCATCTATTTTGGGTTTGGTGACTGATTTAAAACATACTTGTATATCACATTTTTTAACTGTGATGCCAAAAATAAATGAATATCCTAGAAATGTGAAGTTTTTACACAATCAGGAGAAACAAATATGTTTTGAGGTGTTTTGAGTTTTTGTTTTAGCTACGCTAGCTAAAAAAATATTATATGAAATATATGAACAATTTTACTTTATTTATTTTACAATTGCCTTAGTCTTTAAAGGGTTAAAAAGTATTACAAGTGGAATCTATGTTTGGGTAACTAAGGACATCACTGAGAAACCAAGAGTATTGTCATGATGTCAACGTTAGGGAAAGATATTGGAGATGCCATGTTGGAAGCAAGCAATAAATGAACAATACTTAAAGGAACACTATAGTCACCTAAATGACTTTAGCTAAATAAAGCAGTTTTAGTGTATAGATCATTCCCCTGCAATTTCACTGCTCAATTCACTGTCATTTAGGAGTTAAATCACTTTGTTTCTGTTTATGCAGCCCTAGCCACACCTCCCCTGGCTATTTATCTTAAATAATTGTATCTCAATCTCTAAATTGAACTGTAATCACATACAGGAGGCTCTTGCAGGGTCTAGCAAGCTATTTACATAGTAGGGGATAAGAAAATCTTAATTAAACAGAACTTGCAATAAAGAAAGCCTAAATAGGGCTCTCTTTACAGGAAGTGTTTATGGAAGGCTGCGCAAGTCACATGCAGGGAGGTGTGACTAGGGTTTATAAACAAAGGTATTTAACTCCTAAATGGCAGAGGATTGAGCAGTGAGGCTGCAGGGGCATGTTCTATACACCAAAACCGCCTCATTAAGCTAAAGTTGTTCAGGTGACTATAGTGTCCCTTTAAAATGAATGAGACCCATGTAGACATGAACTACTTTAAATTAAACTTGATTGAAGATACACCAATCTTTAGAAACAGAATTTATTGTTGAATTTATTCACTGCCCAGGCATTCATTGCACTTTATTCTGCACTGAGGAAGTTCTTTTTATGGCGAGGATTGTCCTGGATTTTGTATCTATATGAATGGTTGTTGAGCTACTCATTTATTTATTTTTTGTCAATCTATTTTTATTTTTTATTTGAGGCAATAAAAAGGTTCAAGTCAATCAATTGGGAGTAATAGCATACCTACTGAGACTTTAAAGTTTTGCAAGTACAATAACACAGTTAATGCGTAGTTATATAAACATACAGGAATCTACTCCAGGCTAAACCTGACTCATTTTTTTTTTTTTAGTATACATTATTTTATAAAAAATTTTTTCTTAAAGCGGCATTGTCATGCCGAATCCCGTTTTTTTTTTTTAACCCACCTCCACTACATTCAATTGACCCCCTTAGTCACCCCCAAATGCCCCTAAGCCCCCCATATTACCTATTTATTATTCTTTATGTTCTGCCCCAATCTTTATTCAGGGCTCCGCCATCTTTGTGTGGGTAGATGAAGTCCCTGTGGGACACGTCATCTGCCCACACTAGATAGACTGTGAGATTCCCTCACATGCCCATTGAAACACTTGGACATGCGAACTGGAATTTCATCTATTCATTCATTCATCAGAAAGACGAACTAATTAATAGAAAAATCAGACGAACAAACTAACACTGTGTATCAGTGTTCGTTTGTTCATTCAGTTTATTACAAGGAGGGAGCTACCGGCACGCAGCTCTCTCCTTGTAATATGTAACTATAGAAGCGGCAGAGAGTAGTGCTCCCCGCCACTTCCTAAGCCCCCCAGGTCCCTCCTCACTCTATGGGGGTCAATATGATCCCCATAATAGCATAAGGGAGATTAAAATCTCCCGAATGCCCTTACTTGCTATACCGCGAATATCCTAGAAATGTGGAGTTTTTACACAATCAGGAGAAACAAATATGTTTTGAGGTGTTTTGGTTTTTTTTTTAGCTACGCTAGCTAAAAAAATATTATATGAAATATATGAACAATTTTACTTTATTTATTTTACAATTGCCTTAGTCTTTAAAGGGTTAAAAAGTATTACAAGTGGATTCTATGTTTGGGTAACTAAGGACATCACTGAGAAACCAAGAGTATCGTCATGATGTCAACGTTAGGGAAAGGTATTGGGGATGCCATGTTGAAAAAATAAGAAGCAAGCAATAAATGAACAATACTTAAAGGAACACTATAGTCACCTGAATGACTTTAGTAAAATAAAGCAGTTTTAGTGTATAGATCATTCCCCTACAATTTCACTACTCAATTCACTGTCATTTAGGAGTTAAATCACTTTGTTTCTGTTTATGCAGCCCTAGGCACACCTCCCCTGGCTATGATTGACAGAGCCTGCATGAAAAAAAAAAACTGGTTTAACTTTCAAACAGATGTAATTTACCTTAAATAATTGTATCTCAATCTCTAAATTGAACTTTAATCACATACAGGAGGCTCTTGCATGGTCTAGCAAGCTATTTACATATCAGGGGATAAGAAAGAAGAAGTGTTTATGGAAGGCTGTGCAAGTCACATGAATTACAATGGGGAGACAGGGGACCTACTGTCCTCCCCCCCTGGCCCCCACCCTTGAGCGGCGGGTGGGGGCCATAAAGATAATGAGGGGGGGGACCTACTGTCCTCCCCCCAGGCCCCCACCCATGGGCGGCAGATTGGGGCCATAATAATAATGGGGGGATCTACTGTCCTCACCCCAGGCCCCCACCCCTGAACTCAGGGGTGGGGGCCTGGGGGGGAGGACAGTAGGTCCCCTCCCTCATTGTCCTTATGGCCCCCACCCGCCACTCAAGGGTGGGGGCCAGGGGGGGAGGACAGTAGGTCCCCGTCCCCCCATTGTAATTTATGGCCCCCACCCGCTGCTCAGGGGTGGGGGCCAGGGGGATGACAATAGGTCCGCCCCCCCATTGTTATTTAGGGCCCTCACCCGCCGCCCAGGGGTGGGGGCCTGGGGGGAGGACAGTAGGGCCCCCCTCATTATCATTATGGCCCCCACCTGCCACCCAGGGATGGGGGCCAGGTGGGGGGGGACAGTAGGTCCCCCCTCATTATCATTATGGCCCCCACCCGCCGCCCAGGGGTGGGGGCCAGAGAGGAGGAGGACAGTAGGTCCCCCCCCATTGTAATTTATGGCCCCCACCCACCACGCAGGGGTAGAAGCCGGGGGGAGGACAGTAGGTCCCCCCCCATTATCTTTATGGCCCCCACCCACCGCTCAGGGGTGGGGGCCGGGGGGGGACAGTAGGTCTCCCCCCTTATTTTACTTTAAGGCCCCCACCCATCTTTTAGGGGTGGGTGCCAATAGGTTTTTATTATTTTTTACAGTAAGCAGCCACAGGCTGCTCACTGTTTACTAGACATGCCCCTACTCGCGGTATAGCGAGTAGGGGCAGAATTTACTAATACTAAGTAATAATCTTTACTTAGTATTAGTAAATGTGGCTGAAAGACCAATTTAGGTCTTTCAGTCCTTTAGTAGATAACTCCCTAAGTCCCATGGTATCAGGGAGTTATCTACTTAGCGGCTGCAAGATGCAGCCACAGCACAAATAGGATCGGAGTTTCATTCATTCAAATGAAATTCCAACATGAATAAAGTGCCGAATTGCATTCTAAAACAAACAAACATACTGTTCTCATTCAGTTAGAATGCAATTTGGTAGTTTTGGCTAAAATGACAGGAAGCATAGCGAGATCACAGAGGAAAGGTAAGAATTATGGGAAAATTGCTCTGACCAGCGGAAATGAAACACACTTTGCTCCTCCGCTGGTCAAAGCTGGTCAAGCGGAGGAAACCTCCATAAGGCAAAGAGTCCCTACTTTGTCTTATTATTTTAAAGAAAACTAAAGAAGACAGGAAAAAAAGAACAGATCCTGAGAGAGGGGGAGAAGAGGAAGACTTTGAGGAAAGGTAAGTTCGGCATGACAGTGCCGCTTTAAGTATACACAAAAAACACAAAAAGAAAAAAAAATGACACAACTAAGACACATATATCAACATAACACATTATGCCTCCATTAATAAATGTGTTCTAATCCACATAGGTTATTACATCAATATATACAAAAAATAAAAGACAACAGAGTTTCTGCAAAGACGAGAGGGTTATAAAATGCTCAGGGGTATATTTGCAGGCATTTATATGTATTTTGAACTCAGGCCTGTTGTATTTTTGTTAGCCATGCTTGCCACAAAGCCTGTCTTTTTGGAGCATTCAGGAACTGGATGCTTAAATCTCTTTCCATCCTTAGCTGTAAGAGCATTTTAGCTTTAATAAGCTCCCATGATAATTCTTGCATTTTTTTTCCAATTGCGTGCAAGTATAATCTTATTTGCAAAAAAACAGTGCATAATAAAGCTCTCATTATTTTGTGAGATGTTTGGCCAATGCATATCCAGCAGTGCGACTTCAGGTTTCCTCTCTAAGATTACCTTTCTGAATATATGGACAACTCCACCATATATGAAGGTAGGTACCTTCTTAGAGGCCACATCGCCACCACATAGAAGGGACATTCTGATACATCCGTACTATTCTATTTGGGACCACATACGACCTGCTTATAACTTTATAGTGGGTTTCAACTAAGTTCAAGCATTGTACTTGCTTACAAGTAATATTGAGAGCTTTACACCATTCTTGATGATCTAGGACACAATTCAAATCTTTTTCCCATACTTTCTTCTGGGGCAGGCTGTCTGAGTGATTAATCCTTCTGATTACTTCTATTGCTTTTGCTAAAACCCTAGGAACTACCTCATTTGAAAAAAAATATCTTAGTATCTTTGGGGCATTTTTGGTGGCTAGAGTTAGTTGTTTTTGTAAAAAATATGTAACTCTGAAATATGAAATTTCAGAGTTAGGTAATTGGAATTGTTGGACTAGAGTCTCAAATGACATCAGATTATATTGATATAATATTTGGGACACCTTATGGATACCCCGCTCTCTCCATCTAGATAGAGATATATCATTTATATTTGCTTCTATTACATTGAGCTTTAAAGAGTCTACATTGCATATTTATTCCCTATTTTTCTTTGAATCTCTTCCCATACAGGGAGCACTTGATCCAGCATTTTGTTATTTTTAATATCAACTCCCATTATTTTGATTTTTTTAGTGTTCCAGATAAGACCGGTGGGGTTCTTCAGACCTACATCCTCCATTTCAATTTTGTACCATCGCAGTTTGTAGCTGGGTTCTATAGTTATTATATTCGCCCAGTATATAAATCTTATATTTGGAAAATTTAGACCCCCATCTGTTGGTTTAAGAGATAAAACTGTTCTATTTATTCTATTTTTTCCCTTTCTTAATAAAGGTTTCAATTTGGAAGAATCGTTAACCAACTATCTAGGATTTTAAGGGGTATCATTTGAAGGAAGTAGTTCCATTTAGGCATAATATTTGAATTGATAACATTAATCTGTCCCCACCATGTAATCTCTATATGCCTCCAAACCTTAAGTAACTGATTTGTTATTTTCAAAAGAGTTAAAAAGTTGTCTTCCATCAATCTATGCATATTTTTGGTGATCCACATTCCAAAATAGTTGAACCTTCTTCCAGCCCATACGAAGCCACATTTTCTACTAATCTCTTCTCTTGTGTCCTTATCTAGCCCAGTGCTCATCAAGGTTGTTTTATCATTATTTAGTTTATAATTTGCTACCTTGCTATAGTCCTTAAATTCTCCCATCAAATAATCTAAAGAGGGTCAGTTATTGTAAACAGAATATCATCTGCGTACATGCAGATTTTTAGTTTGCAAATCTCTCATCGTAAAAACCTTTATTCTCACGTTATTTGTAATGTTTTCCGCTAATGGTTCAATAGATAATACATATAATAATGGCGACAGCGGGCATCCTAGTCTGATGCCATTTTTTATTGTAACCCAATCTGAGCAAACATTTGGCCCAACCATTCTAGCTGAGGGATTTTTATGTAATGCCATAATTGCATCGAACATCCAACGCTCATTCAAGGAATTTCCAGTTTAGCATGTCCAAAGCTTTTTCAGCGTCGACAGCTGTAGACAAGAGCGGTATGTTTTTATTTTTAGAGTTATAGAGAATATTAATGATTCTTCTCATATTGGAGACTGACCATCTACCAGGTATAAAATCAATTTCGTCATTATGGATTAATTTCCTAATTACTTCCTTAAGGCGTGATGCCTAGATGGATGAAAATATTTTAACATCCGTGTTTATTAAAGAAATGAAAACGGTAACTAGAGACTTCTGTGGGATTTTTTTCCTTGTTTCAAAATAGGGAGTATATTGGCTCTAGTCGTTTCCTCAGGGAAGTTTCCTATCTGAACAGCGTTATTAAAAGTTAGGGTCAAATGATTGCTCAGCTGTGATTTGTAGATGTGAAAGAACAAGTTAGTGAATCCGTCTGGTCTGGGTGTCTTAGATTTTTGCAGTTTAGAAATAGCAATTTCTACTTCTTCTGCATTGATAGGTCTATTATGTCTAATTGACTGCATTTGATCAATCTTTGGGAGATTTGTTTTGATCAAATATTGATTAATGTTTTTAGTGGAATTTATACAGGGAGATTGTATAATTTCCCATAGTATTCTTTAAAGCAATTTCCAATATCCTTAGGTTTTATAAATCTTTTATTGTTATAAACGTTTTTTGTTATTTGCGAATTGGCTTGTTGTTTTCTAAGCTTGTTAGCCAATATTCTATCAGTTTTATTGCCCCTGCAGAAGAATTTAGTTTTAATTTATTAATATTTTTTACAATTTTATTATTTAGACACTGGGAAATTTTATCCTGTGTATCTATAATTTTCCTAGCTTTTTCAGGCATAGGGTCCACCTTATTTTCTGCAGATAGTTTATATAAAAAGATATATAGGTCAGCTAGACTTCTCTCTTTGTTTTTAGCTTCATGATTCAATTTAAGGAAATATCCTCGTAAGACCGCTTTAAAAGTATACCATGTCATCAAAAATTATGTATCTAAGGGAACGTTCTCCTTAAAAAAGCAATCAATTAGCCTTTGTATTTATCCCTATTATTGTTATTAAAAACCAGAGGAAAACAGTTACCTGCACTCTCTCCTTAATCCCTATGTAAATTTAGACAAATGGAGGTTATTTAGTTACTCCAATGGCCATTGGAGCGAATGCCTGCCTGCCAACGTCAAGGCAGACCCCCCTAAGCGGGTCCAAAATATATCAAATTATTATATACCTGAGATCTTTTGTTCATACTGTTCATTCCCTGAGCATTAACAGATAAAAACGTAACCATATTCGTCCAGCTCCAAAACACAATCCCCTAACTCCCCCTCTCGATTTCGCAGATTACATATAACATAGACACAATACATTTTAAACCTCAGAAGAACCCGTAAATCCTATTACGCCATAAAAAAAAGAAAATACATTTAACTGTATCTATATATTGGACCCTTGTCCAACAGAGCTCTATATATTCTTAATATCTTGTGAACATACCATAACCCATAATAATATGTGTATTATATTTGATGTCCTGCCATTACCACATGGACTATGGTGTGTTATAAGTGCAAGTAGAATATATAAATAAATTGTTAGATTAATTACATAAACACAACAAATAGTTAATTGCTAATGTCCCTTTTCCTCTTTTACTTCCTACCTCCATTTTTATTTTATGTGCATCAAGAGCCCTAACTTGTAAATCTCTATTTAGTCTCAGTTGTTACAGTGTGAATAAATAATTTGTCTCTATAAATAAGTGTACT